GTGTTTTGGGACCCTGACCCCGCGGATCTGCGTGAGGGGTGGCACCGAATTTCAGAAAATGTGGCAAATCCCCTGTGTTTTTGGACCCTGACCCCGCGGATCTGCGTGAGGGGTGGCACCGAATTTCAGAAATGTGGCAAATCCCATGTGTTTTTGGACCCTGACCCCGCGGATCTGCGTGAGGGGTGGCACCGAATTTCCGAAATGTCGCAAATCCCATGTGTTTTTGGACCCTGACCCCGCGGATCTGCGTGAGGGGTGGCACCGAATTTCAGCAATGTGGCAAATCCCTTGTGTGTTTGGACCCTGACCCCGCGGATCTGCGTGGGGTGTCGATTTCGAGCCCCCCCAGCAATTCAGACAACGCGCCCAGGGGGTGCTAAAAAATCCTGTTTGGGCCTCCCCCCCCCTCGCGCGGTCAATCAACTAGTTACAGTAACCAGCAAGAAGTCAACTAGTTACAGTAACCAGCAAGAAGCAGAACTGTAACACTGGAAACTACAACCTACGACTGGTACAGGAAACTGCGAATCACGGTCCTACAGCCTGGTGGCCCCACAAGGGGGCCGGCGGATTTTCCATGTCTCGTTTCCCAGTTCTTTCTCTCTTCGCTGACCTCAAGGATACCGCACTTCCCTGGGGGCGGTCTTCACGGCCCTTCAGAGCGCCCCTGGGAGCGCTCCGAGGGACCCCATGGAAGCCCGAAGAGGTCATTCGAGGCGGGGTCCATGGGGGGCAGGTTCCAAGGTGGCACAACAGCTCAGGACAGCCTACACATGGTCCAACATATCTCTAAGAGGCCTCTTACTGAACGGCCAGACTTCATGCACGTTGCTTTGGTTTTTTTTCACAACTTTTCGCATTACTACTTGTCTGTCTTCAGACCGTGCTGCCCCCAAGAGGCCTCCCAAGAAGCCTCCAACCCCCAGCGAGGGTCCGAAGAGGAGGAAACCGAACTGAACTGTCAAGCTCTTTCGCGACAGATGGCCCCCCCACACAGTTCCACAGCCCTAAGAGGGTCCGAAGAGGAGGAACCCGAACTGACATTCAGAACCCTTTTCCGACAGGTTTGCCCCCACACCGCCAGAAAGCCCCCAAGAGGGCCCCAATTGACCCCGACAGGTGCCCCAAACCCCACCCCACGAGGTTCCCAAAATACAGCCAAGATGCCCCACGAGGCTCCAAGCATGTCCCCGCGAGGACAGGCTTTGCAATGAACCCCCAGGAGGCTCCCAAGACGGCCCAAGAGGGCCTCAAGGGGATTGAAAGAGTGTCCCGGGAGGGGGGAAACGAACAACCATTTTGAGCTCTCTGCCCCGAACCGCCCACGACTGCTCGCGCAACACTCCAAGGAAACTATCACCACCCATCATCGCTGCGGTGGCAAATATTCCGTAGCCATTTTGGCTCAAGTTGTCATTGCGGGGCCTTCGAATTATACAGCACACCGCAGTCATCCACTAAGTTGGAACTGCCACGCTTTGAATGATGGCGCCAGACACAGTGCAACAAAACGGCGTTCCTGGCGTGGATGGTAACGGAGGGGTGACCTCTGTAACTGCCAGTCCAGGAGGAACACCGCCTCCCGAGCGAGAGTTAGGTGGTCTCTCGCTGCCCATGCGTTACGGCGATGTGCAGCGTCCGTCATCGATCACTATGCTCAAAGTCTTGGTGTCGAAGACCTTTTTCATCTCGCTGAAGCGATTCCGCATCCCTAGCCTGCTCATAGTCAGCCTCGTCTACATGGCGGTACAGATTGTTCTATGGGAGCTCATGGACGACTCTGTCGAAGAAATCGTCCTTGCACTGGTCTTCCGCGCAGTCGGACCAGTATTGCTGGTATTCTCTCAGGCATCCATTTTGAGTGGCCTCGTCAATGAAATCGTTTCTGAAAAGGAGACGAAGATGAAGATTGTACAGCTTACAAATGGCGTCCCAGCATGGATCTATTGGACCTCCTACGTGATCTACTACATGGTCCTTGCAAGCGTCCTCGCCGCAGCTTGGACAGTTGTCCTGTGCCTAACATCGATGAAGGGTGCAAACCCGTTTTTGGTTTTCTTGGAAGTTGAACTCTCGTACGTACAGACTTTCGGTACAGCTGTCATTTTCTCAACCTTCTTCGACAAGTTGCAGAGCGCGTCGTCTTCTGTCCAAGTGACCATGTATGTGATGTATATCCCCATTGGCGTCTCGTACGTCCCGAACTTACCTTATCTGGTGCACTACTTGACGGGATTTGTCCCAGGCTTTGCACTGATCTGGTGGATGCAGTCTGTGACGACACAAGGAATTGTGGCTCCGGGTAGGGAGTGGAATTGGGGTGAGAATTTCGCGCTCGAGCTCACGCACTCGCAGCTGGGCGCTGTGTCCTTGGAAAGTTTTGCGGTGCCGCCCGCGGGACATCTATGGGTCCTCTCATTTCTGCAGGTGGGGCTCTGGCTTGCTTTCGCATACTGGTTCGACCAGGTGTGGCAAGGCGAGTACGGCAGTGCGAAGCCGCTGACCTTCTGCTTCCAGCCCCGATACCTCTGCCCGCGCCGCGCCCCCGAAGTTTGCGGCGAAGGAGGTCGTGGCGTCAATTCGACGTGCCCCCTGCTGATCAAGAACATGACCAAGACCTTCACGAGGGGGAAGACGACCCACACGGCCGTTGACGACATGTCGTTGGACGTGCGCTCGGCTGAATTGTTTGCGCTGCTCGGGCACAACGGAGCTGGGAAGACCACAGTCATCAATTGCATCACGGGGATGACCCCCATCACCTCTGGGGAGGCCATTGTGATGGGCCACTCCAGCATTACCGACATCGATCGTTGTCGCTGGAACCTCGCCATCTGCCCGCAGGACAACCCCATGTACGACGAGTACACAGTGGCGCAGCACTTGCGGTTCTTTGCCGCGCTGCGCGGCTCCAGCGACCCGGAGAGTGAGGCCTCGCAGATACTCGCGCTGCTGGGCCTGCAGGAGAAGCTCCAGGAGCAGTGCAGGAAGCTCAGCGGAGGCCAGAAGCGGCGCCTGTGGGTGGCCACCTCGCTCCTAGGCGCGGCCCCCGTGGTCTTCCTGGACGAGCCGACCAGCGGCATGGACCCGGCTTCGCGCAGGCAGCTGTGGAACCTTCTGCTGGACATGAAGAGCCGAGAGCGCTCCATCCTGTTCACCACGCACTATCTCGAGGAGGCGGACGTGCTGGCGGATCGCAAGGCCGTTCTGGCCAAGGGCCGGGTGAGGGCCGCAGGGACCTCCATGGAGCTGAAGCGCCAGTTCGGGGTCGGCTACCACTTGAGGGTGCTCCTGCAGACGAGCGCGCCCCCGTCTTGCGCCGACAGGGTTCGCGAGCTCGTCAGGCAGACGGTGCGGAGCTCGGCGCCGCGGCCGGTGCCGGAGGAGGAGCGCGCGCAGTCGCGAGGTGCGCTGGCGGTGCTCGAGTTCGACCTGCCGTACGCCGAGATGGACTCCTTCGGGCCTCTGCTCAAGGCCCTCGAGGGCGGCCGAGGGGCGCTCGGCATCGACGACATCGACATCGCGATGACCAGCCTGGAGGAGGTGTTCATGGCCCTGGGGAGGGAGGCGGCGAGGGAGGGAGAGGCGGGCGGCCGCCTGCCCGAGGGCTCGGGGGCCACGGCCGAGGGTGGCGGCCTCGAGTTCCAGGGCCTGGAGGCCGAGCCCGCCGTCCCCGATGTTCTGGAGAGGCCCCCGTTCTGGGGGCAGGTGGGGCTGCTGTTCCATCTGAGGGTGGAGCTGGTCAGGGCGCACAGGAGGATGGCGTTCTGGAGCGTCGTCTACCCGCTGGTGTTCCTTGCCTACATGTACGTGTCCACCGCGAGCTGGGGCTCGAACTGGGGCTACTCGATGAGCTCGGGGTTCAGCTTCGCACCCGGCATGTGCACTGCGTTCGCAGGCATGCCCGTGGTGTTCATGCTCGTGCACGAGCGGGAGTCCAAGGTGCGCCACGCCATGATCTCGCAGGGGATGCATCCGACTGCATACTGGGCAGGTACCCTCCTCCAGGTGGGCGGCCAGGTGCTGCTCGTGTCGCTGGCCGTGCCCATCCTCGCCCACGCATTCTCCCAAGATTTCATGCGCCAAGGGCTCGGTGTCTTCGTTTGGTTGGCAGCTTTGCTCCAGCCGGCGCCGCTGCTTTTGGCCTACTGCCACTACTCTCGCCTGTTCACCAACGCAGAGGTGGCCACGAAGACGCTGCCACTGTTCGTGATCCTCACGTCCTTATTCCACCTGGCGCCCTGGGCGATCTGGAGGATGGCCCCAACAGACGAGGGCAACTGGGACACGATCGGCGGGCTCGTCCACACCGGAGTCTCGTTCGTGAGCCCCTCCTACCTCCTGACCGGCGTGGTCACGGCCGCCTGGCGCGCTGGAGGGGCGGCTGAGAACGCGCACAGCGTGCGGTACCCGACGCAGGCAGGCGCTGATTCTGGCACGTGGCTGGGCGACTGGATCATCTGGGCTCCCTTCGTTGGCCAGCTGGCGCTCTCGCTCCTTCTCGGGTACGAGCTCCGCCGTGCCTCCACCAGGCCAAGAGCCTTCGCCGTCGCCAGGGTCGAGGACGAGGACCCGCTGGTCCACGCGGACGACGACGTGGTCGTCGAGGCCGCGCGGGCCGAGGCGGCCGCCCCCGCGGAGCAGGCCTGCCTCTACAGGGGCCTCGGGCACCGCTTCCGCGGCCGCCGCGGCGAGCCGGTCCGGGCGGTCCGGGGGATCTCCCTCGCCATCGACAGCGGCGAGTGCTTCGGCCTGCTCGGGCCCAACGGCGCGGGGAAGACGACGACGCTCGGCTGCCTCACGGGCGAGATCCGGCCCCCGACCAGCGGCGAGGTCTTCGTGGCGGGGCACGCGGTGGCGGGCGCGGGGGTCTTCGAGGCCTACAGGAGCCTCGGGTTCTGCCCCCAGGTGGACTCCATCATCCCTGGGAGGAGGAGGGAGGAGGAGGGAGGAGGAGGAGGGGAGGAGGAGGAGGGGAGGAGGAGGCGGGAGAGGAGGAGGAGGAGAAAAGGCCGGAGGAGGAGGAGGAGAAGGAGGAGGAGGAGGAGGAGGAGGAGGAGGAGGACGAGTAGGGAGGAGGAGGAGGAGGAGGAGGAGGAGGAGGAGGTCTTCGAGGCCTACAGGAGCCTCGGGTTCTGCCCCCAGGTGGACCCCATCATCCCTGGCCTCAGCGGGCGCCAGCACCTCGCGCTGTACGCGCGCCTGAAGGGCGTCCCCGCGGCCCAGGCCAGCGCGGAGGTCGAGAGGATCCTGGGGCGCCTGGGCTTCGAGGAGGCCGACCGCGGTAAGGACGCGTCGAAGTACAGCGGCGGCATGAAGCGGAAGCTGTCCCTCGCGCAGGCGCTGATCGGCAGCAGCGCCGTGCTGTTCCTCGACGAGCCGTCCGCCGCGGTGGACGCGGGGGCGAAGCGCCTCCTCTGGAAGGTGATCAAGCTCCGCCGACGCAGCCAGACGGTGGTCATCACCACTCACTCGATGGAGGAGGCGGAGGCTGTCTGCGACCGCATCGGCATCCAAGTCAAGGGGCGGCTGCGCTGCCTGGGCTCGCCAGACCACCTGAAGGCCAAGCACGGCTCCGGCTACAGGCTCGAGGTCATCCTGGAGGCCCCCGGGGGGCGGGCACCGGTGACCGCCAGCGAGCGGAAGGTCACGGAGTTCGTGTGCTCCGAGCTCTCCCCCGAAGGCCGGCTGCTCGAGGCGCACGGACTGCGGCTTCTGTATCGGCTGCCGCTCCTGAGGGAGGGCGGCCTCACCCTCGGAGACGTCTTCACGAAGCTGCAGTCGGCCCGCAGCGCCCTCCTCATCCAGGACTATTCCATCGCGCGGTCTAGCCTGGAGCAGGTGTTCCTGAAGTTTGCGCAGGAGCAAGAGGATGGTGAGTCTTAGCTCGGGGGCCACATGCGACCCCTACCCCTACCCCCCCCGATTTCTGAGGGGGAGGGTGGGGTTCACTTCGCCGGGGAGCTCCCGAGCGAAGTGCACCCCCCACCCTCCCCCTCAGAACTCGTGGGGGTTAGGGGTAGGGTTCGCATGTGGCCCCCTATTAGCTGGTGAGTGCCACCCCGCGATCGGGTGCGTTTGTGAGTTGGAGGGGGAGGCCTCCCCTGCCTCCGCCAAAGTGATCATACCCCGTGATCACGGTGCGCGTGCCGCTCGCTCCTTGTGCCAAGAATCCGTCCGTGCGGTGCTCGGCACGCGTGCAAACATACACTCGAACAAACAGTCAGTTTTGGAGAAGGAGGAGGAGGAGGAGGAGGAGGAGGAGCGAGGAGGCGAGCAGGAGGAGGAGGAGGGACGGAGGACGGAGAGGAGGAGGAGGAGGGGGAGGAGGAGCGAGGAGAACGGGTAGGAGGGAGGAGGAGGATGAGGAGGAGGATGAGGAGGGAGGAGGAGGAGGAGGAGGAGGAGAGGAGGAGGACGCGAGGAGAGAGGAGGAGGAGGAGGAGGAGGAGGAGGAGGAGGAGGAGGAGGAGAAACGTTTCCACTAGGGCTCCGCCTCTCTAACGACTGGCCCTCATACCTGATTTGGCTGGGCCCAGTCGACTGGTTGGCCCAGTTGGCCGCTGGGCTGGATGGTGGTTTGTTGGCGGGTGCCTGCTTGGCTGGTCGGTTGTCCGGTCGTATGGGTGAATCGGGCCGTGTGGAGGGTCCTTCCCTCTCTGGGAGATGGAGCTTTTTCTTTTTTGTTTAAGACAGGTTTTACTTTTTTAAGCACTTGTTATTCTTTTTTCCCTTTCTTTTTTTCTCCTCAGCTATTAAGATTTTTTGTTTTCAGACTCTGTTTTTTTTTTTTTTTCTTTTTTTATGCGTTTTTTAATTACTTTGATTTTCTTTAATTTTATTTTTTAAGACAGCGACGTTAAGACGTCCCGAGACAACTCAAGAGGGTCCGCAGGGCTCTCGAGAGGTCCCCAAGAGGCCTCCAAGAGACTCCCGAAATGCCCCCCACGTTGGCTGGATGGTTGGTTTGTTGGCTGGATGCCTGCTTGGTTGGTCGGTTGGTCGGTTGCCCGGTCGTCTGGTGCTTCGGCCGTGTATCAGTATCGTTTGACCCACACCCATCCCCATCCACATCCCCATCCACATTGAGACCCCCACCAAATGACCCCCAAGTGGGGGATACACCCCTCGAAACCCGAAGGGAACGACCTGTATCCCCATCTAGGGGAGTAAATCGGCCAAAGGGGCCCAGGCCACGCCGCTGGGGATGGGGGTCGGTTAAACGATGCTCATGCTTTGTTGGTCGGTTGTCCGGTCGTCTGGTGCTTCGGCCGTGTGGAGGGAGGGTGGGTGGGGGGATGGATGGAGGGTGAGGGGGGGCGTTCGGGGCGGGGGGGGTGCCGACAGTCGGTCGCATGGAATAAGGACTCGTTGCGCACGACGCTTGCAAGCTGCATCGAGACAGGGCTGTGCGAAGACGCTCCCCTGCTCTCTCGGAGCGCCGCTTCACCTGCCCGGGCCGCCTCTGCGCGCAGCCGGCAGCCTCCCCTACCGCCTCCGCAGCTAGGTTGTTCGATGCGCGATCTGCGGCCACAGCCACCTAACCTGGGCGATGACCACACCTGACTGTGCAGCCCTGATCTGGTAAGCCGCTGTCGCTGTACCGTCGGGGCCCTGAAGAAGGAACCCTTTTCGTTGGGGAGGGGCTCCGTGTTCCTTAAGTGTTTCACAGTTTGCCTCAGGTTTTCCTTATGTCTTCGATCGGAAATCGAAGTTTAACTTATGGAAAGAAGGGGCCTCGTTCCTTATTTAGGGTTCCTTAGGTCAACGCCCCGACTGTACATTCCAGATGTCGACCATCTGTGACGGCTTCGAGGGTGCCGCCAGCACGAGCGCACGCCAACGTCGGGCGCCCGCAGGTTTCGTTGGCCTCGCTGGCGCGCGCTATCAGCTCCCGCAGCGTGCCCGCTCTGCTGCTCTGTCGGCGCCGTGGTGCCTTCTGTCAGAGCGCCTCTGAGCTCTCTTCCTTCGCCTCCTCCCCCTTCCCTCCCCCCCTGCCTGGTGATCGTTTCTTGATGAATTGTTTTGCCGATCGGCGCGGGCCCTCGCACCCCCCCTCCCCCCCCATGGAGTAGATCTGAGTAGATCTTAGTTGTTTTTGGCGCCTGTTTCACGCAGATGGAGGCTCCTCCATAGGACGCACTGCTGCAAACAGTCGCACTAAACAGAGGTCCAGAGCCAGACCCCCCCCTCCCCCCCCTTTCCGCCCAATGTCGAAACGCGGAATCAGAAAACGTTCACCTGCATCTCCTCAAGCGAAGCCGCGTGTACAGTAGCGGCCAGTCAGCGTGCGCGCTGGACAGCAGCCAGCGGCCGCTCCTTTCGGCGGGCCACGGCCCGCGCCGTTCTGCTCGTGCCTGCGATCGAGAACGCCAGGTGGTGCGGAGGTGCGAGATGTCAGACTCAGAGTGGCTGCAAGCTCTGCCTGTCAGACAAATCGTCTTCGCCACCTTCATGAGGACGTGGGCAACAAAAACAAATCGCTGCGGTGGCAACGAACACGTAGGCAAACTCCCGCGATGGAACAGTCCTTGCCGGCGACGTGCGCGAAGCGATCCGCCGCCCCACAGAGAACGGCGTGCGAAACCACCACCGCATGATTTGCAAGGACGGTTTCTCGTGTTTGGCTAGCTCTGGCCTTGGAAAGGTCGGGCTGAGCCTGCAGAACCGAGGGGGGGAGGGGGATGAGGAGGAGGAGGAGGCGGAGGAGGAGGAGGCGGAGGAGGAGGAGGAGGAGGATGAGGATGAGGAGAGGAGGAGGAGAGGAGGAGGAGGCCAGGGGGAGGAGGACAGGGGGGAGGAGGAGGAGGAGCGAGGAGGAGGAGGAGGAGGAGGAGAGATGGGAGGAGAGGAGGAGGAGGACGAGGAGGAGGAGAGGAAGGAGGAGGAGGAGGAGGAGGAGGAGGAGGAGGAGGGGAGGAGGAGGAGGATGAGTGAGTCGGACAGGGGGAGGAGGCGGAGGAGGACGAGGAGGAGGAGGAGGAGGAGGAGGAGGACGAGGAGGAGGAGGAGGAGGAGGAGGAGGAGGAGGAGGAGGAGGAGGAGGGGACCCTCGCCGATCGACCGCGAAGCAGGGAGGCGCGAGCGCTCTCGAAGCGCCCCCGCCCTCGCCGCGCGCTCGCCACGCGCGCAAAAGCAGTGTTGTTTCTCCCAGCCCGCCCAGCGAGCAATGGGAGGGGAATCCTGCGAGCGCAAGCGCGTGCGCGCGCCGATAGAGGATGATGATAATGATGATGAGGATGATGATGCTGCTGCTGATGATGATGATGCTGATGATGATGCTGATGATGATGATGATGATGATGATGATGACGACGATGATGATGACGACGACGATGATGCTGCTGATGATGATGATGATGATGCTGATGATGATGATGATGATGATGATGATGATGATGATGATGATGATGATGCTGATGATGATGATGATGATGATGATGATGCCGATGATGACGCTGATGATGAGGAGGAGGATGAGGAGGAGGGAGCCACTCCGCCGCACTCGCCCTACTCTGGTCCCTTGTTGGGCCCCTCTCGGGCCCCCCCCTGGGCCCTCTCTGAGGCTCTCCGGGCCTATTGCCGCTTCCGGCGTCTGATCGGGGGCACTCCTCGGCCTTTTTCTTTTTTTTCTTTTCTGCCTTTCTCTTTTTTCTTCGTCCTCGTCCTTTCTATTTTTTTTTTATCTTTTTTTTCTTCTTTTTTTTTCTTCTTCTTCTTTCTTTCTTTTTCCTTTTTCTTTTTTTTGTTTTTTCCTTATATTCTTTTGCTTTTTTTTTCTTTATATCCAAGAACAGTGGGGCAGCGGTGACTGCCCCTTCGGGAGCGTTTCATGAAATAATTTCTCTTTCTCCTCTCTCTATGATACGTTTTCCTCCCTCTTCGTTCTCGTCTTCCTCCTTTTCCCTCTCTCCTCTAACCTCTCCTCGCGTTGTCTCTCTCGCCCTCCCTCCTGGGACGACAGCGCCGGTGAGAGCAGGCCGTGGCCGTTTGTGGTTTGGCCGATTGGAGGGGTAATGAGGACGGCGACGTGATCTCTACCTCGTACTCGTTTTCGTGATGGAAAGAGAGAGTCGGGGGCGGAAAAGAGGGGGGTGATGACTAGGGGGGGGTGGATATCATGGCGGGGGTCATGATATTTCCCCAGATGTCATGGCGCCTCTTCTTGTTTCATTACGTCCCTGGCCCCCCCGCCGGACCGCGCACATGCCGCTGGTCATGATTTGCACCCCCCCCTCTTGGACACCCTCCTCTTGGCCGCTCCCGAGAGAGGGAATGTGTGCCCATCATAGTTCACATGATTCATCTTCCGCGCGGTAGTCGCAGGCGTCTTGCGTGTGGACTGGACTGCCCACCTGAGCGCAGCACAGTAGCAGAACGGGGTCATTGGATTACATGGTCCTTTTCCTCAATTTTCACTGCCTCTTTTCTTAATCACCTTACTCCTCCGTTGCGCGACGGCTTCACGAAAGTCCAATAATGTCGAAGAGGGTCTAATTTGGTTCCACTTTGCCCCAACGAGGCTACAAGAATTGGTCTGCAGGCCCCCAAGACAAACCCAGAGGTGGAGGAATCTCACCCTCGCGCATGCCCATCCCCACCACACTCTTCCGTTATCCTTCTCATCTTCACCACCCTTGCTCCTCATCGTCCTCTTCATTCTTCATCGTTGTGCTCTTTCTCGTCACCCTCATCGTCCTCATCTTCATCCCCTCCCTCCCTCCCTTGTCCTCCTCCTCCTCCTCCTCCTCCTCCTCCTTCGTCATCGTCCTCTTCCTCGTCCTCCCAGTCGTCGTGCTCCTCCTACCTTCCGCGGCGGAGCGCGGCAGGCCGCCCCCCCCCCGGCACACACACAGGTCGGGGTTCTCTCGGCTGCGTCCGGCCTTCCGTCCGCACGCCTGCTCGCGCAGAGACTCGTCGACCCGTGGGACCTCCGGGGGCCGTCGCCCTCCCCCTGCCCCTCCCTCCCCCTCCCCTCCCCTCCCTCGTCTCGCGCGTCCCTCCCCCGTGCCCCCCTGCCCCCCTGCAGAACTGAGGGGGGGAGGGGGAGGAGGAGGAGGAGGAGGAGGAGGAGGAGGAGGAGGAGGCGGAGGCGTAGGAGGAGGAGGAGGAGGAGGAGGAGGAGGAGGAGGAGGAGGGAGGAGAAGGAGGAGGAGGATGAGGAGGAGGAGGAGAGGAGGAGGAGGAGGAGGCGGAGGAGGAGGAGGAGGAGGGAGGAGGCAGGAGG